CCGCCACGCTAATACAGATGACTTTGTGCACAATTCCAGGAGGGGTTGGTATCCTGGAATCTCAGTGCTTAACCTAATGCAAAGTTTGACGTTAACATCACCCAAATCTTAGCATTAACCTTATTCTCACAAGAAATTAGCAGCAAGCCTCGGACTAGTGGATTTCTATTCCAAGGTTTTTTTCGAAATAGATTCGTTAAATTTATTAGACACTTGGGCCACATTTTTCAGTGTAATCGGAAAACTCGTCCTCAACCAGAGGAGAAGGAATGAATATTTAATTTTTTTAACACAAAACCAAGACGGCCTCAGATCAACGTTATACAGTTCAGCCTTGATACTGTTAGGAGTAGTCAGGCGTTCGATGGACGGTTTTTTTCATTTTCTCTAATGTCAAAAGTAGCTGGCCTAAAACTGCTTTCCATTTCTTTTGACAGATGCACCTGTTGTGAGAATGGTCTCCAGGTCGGCTAACGAGCTGGGAAATTACGCCGAAAATGACGTTGTTTCGTTTTCCTGTACCGCTGAAGGAAGGCCAAATGAATTTCGTTGGGTGTAAGTCAACACGCATTCTACTTGGTTCACAGTAGTTATTTTTCATGCAAATTAAGCATTTTTACTTAATCATTAGTAACGGTCATTTCTAGTTCTTCTTCAATAGAAAATACCTTTTCTTTACACCATCCTGTTCTGGTGTCAATTTGGGAAGTAGTCTGCCATATATTTTAAGGTCATATTCGAAAAACGTCACACCTCTCGAGTGGAATTCGTGTGTATAGACAGTAACTGTGCCTTTGCAAACCAAATCCAGACGAAGTGGTTCCAATATCTCCCTTGTCTTTTTCCGGCCTAATGAGACTGATATTAAGGTTGGCTATATCACCCTGAAAACCAAACCAGCGTCAGACGTTTCGTGGTCCACGGATGCATCCATCTGTCGCTGTGTTTTTGTTTTCGTTGCATCGGAACTGTAGGCTTTTTGTTTTCGGGCCACTTTTTTAAATCTTTTAGCAGGTGTAGCGGGCCGAGAACTTTGAGGTTGGCACAGACACCTAAAGGAGTAATTCATCTGTACAGGACTCCAGATGTAACATCTAACGGGGTTGTTAGTCCTTGCAAGCACACGTGGGCATAGGGAGGTGGAAGAATAACGGGCTATGCGTAACAAATAAGATCTGTTGAGATAAAGGTATTGGTAAACAGTAAAAGGGGAAGAATGCGGTACGAAAAGTTACCAAGGGACTGTACAATGAATCCATTTGGAGTGGGGGATGATCACAGAATATCAGTTAGATACCGATGGGGAATGCAGCGCTGTAGACAACTGCGAGGGAGGATCATGAGAGTGCTGACGGCAAGGAGATGACGACACGATACGATACGTTACGAGGAGGAAGTAGAAACAGCGAAAGGAATGCGAAAGAACACCGGCATCTTCACCAAAAGACGTGCATAACGTCGTCATCACGATCCGCGCCATTAGTGACCTTGGCACGTTCAAACACCCGTGGTCCGAGATGGTTCGTTAAACCGGCAGCATGGTGAACAGTCCGGCTATATACTGTAACCCGGACTACCTTTTAGTTTTTACGTAAAGACTTCCCGCTTTGAGTAAGTTCCAGGCGGTTGTGGGTTAGAGTCCACTTGGTATAGCAAATGTGCATCCTGAAGCCTATATTCCAAGTTAGACACTTGTGCACAATGTGCCTGGATTCAGCGTATGATTAACCAAGTGTCCACACACGCCCGAAGCAGGTATGCCTTTCTTAATCTTGGGCAAACTATTTAGTCATCACCAGAAGAGCCTCGTGCTAGCTTTTCATCCATCGTCATAACTGGCGTCCTCCGGTCGTGCCCCAACAGCATCATACTGAATCATCGTATAAGCAGCATTCGCTTAAGATATCTGCATCCCGTAATGGTTACCCCATCGACTTTGCACGCTGATGCATGAAACAAGAACGACCAAAAAAAAGGATCCAAATAGTTCTACTCATGCGCCAAAATTAAATACATCGCGAATCCTTCCTTATATAAGGAATGCTTCTGAACTTGTTGAAAGCCACTTGCGGAAACACCAAATAAAAGTAGCGCACAAGCCGATGGTTTCTTTACACACCCCTAAGGGTAGGGTTGGTTACCTCGATAAGACAAAAGTCATCTAAAAATCCCATGCGCAGCTTGTGATACCGTATATTGCGGCCAAACAAGAAGATCCGTCTCCACAGGCGTCCACGAGCACCAATTGGCAGTGAAAAGACGTGACCATTCGTCCGAAGTGGCTATGCACTGCCTTGACACAAGACAGACCTTTGTCGGAGATTGCCCCTCCGATAATTTCTTGAGGTCATGCACTCCGACGATTCATTAATCAGCCGACGTATCGAGTTGGATGGAGTGTAAAAACATCTCAAAGAAAGAGGGAAGGGACTGCAGCTGATCACTACGGACCAACGTGAACCGCAATTAGCGCTCGCACCAGATGACCCGGACTGACCTGGACCGACACAAAAATACAGTTGTCAATTAGCCATTACGCTATCGCGACTACTTATCTTGTCCACCAAGGAGTAAGGATTATTTCAACTGTCAATTAGCGCCCACAGTAGATGCCTTTATAACTGTACCAACACTTTTGAAATGTTAATTGTTCGTTGCAAAGTTTCCCAAGTCTGGCGAAGACCTGGGGATCCAGTGTCGAAAATTTATCGAATAAATTTTCACCATTATCTTAAATAACGTGTCTCCTTGAAATTAAATTTCTTGGGCTGCCTGTCTTTGAATTTATACGGAAGAATGTTTTATCTATGTTATCGACAAGTCGCCTGGACTGAAATATTTTACCATATTAATGGACACCATTTAGCAAAGTCAGCACTTGCATGTAGCTGCAGTCAAAGAAACTTGAATCTCGTAGATGTGAACTCAGGCATTCGCGTTCTGCGTGACCCAGGAAAATAAGTTGACTGAGTCAAAGGATTTTAACCTGTTAGCGCTCAACAATCATCATAAAATGCACGCAGAAGCCTTGCTCATTAGAATAGGGGCCCCTTTTCCGCCATACAGGCTGCTACCAAATAGCGTAGATATACTGCCTCACAGAATTCTAGACTACTGCCGTTTTTCGGCGTTTTCTAAAGGCCTTGTTAATCCTACTCCC